TATAACCCCTATATAACCCCAATGAGCTGCTGTGAGCGCTTGCTATACTTACACCTGCCAGACCTCTTTTGATCTGCCTTACGCTTGAAACCGGAATTCCTTCCTTCTGTTTTGCTGCTCGCACTGAGGAATTTCGTCTCTGCACCAGATCCAGCTCCAAAGGTTTCTGTCAAGATGGCGGAGAATGCGGAGCACCCTCGCAATGGTTGCTCTGCTGGTTACCCTTGTCATTGTTGTGCTTGCCTGTTAGAACTTGCTGCGAGAAAGGGCTGGAAACTGGCGCCTTCCTACCCTTACGTACCTTGAAATCTGCCAAGCAGCACCGAACTTTGCAAGCACTGGGCGGTTGCTTTGGCGAAGGCATTGGAAGGGATGCCTTAGTGGCTAAGCCGACCTGGCAGGAGGCTTGGTGGGGCATCAGAAGCATGACGAGGAGAGAAAACTGTCCATATAAGACCATTGAGAAAAATCATGAGACTAGTGGTGATGGGGATTGGTTCGTCGGGTGCATGGGTGCATGATTCCGGTAGATGTCAATGTAGGCCACTGGGGTGTGCACTTCATTCCTGTTTCCAGATGTACTATTATAGAAGAGGGAGACGTTGCTGCTTATTATTATAAATGACAAGGCGCGGAGGCAGAAGAGAACACCGGCATCCGGACTCATTAATTTGGGATTCAGCGGAGGCCCAAACAACGGGCAGTTCAAAGAGGTGTAATGCACGGTAAGCAAACTCAATCTTTTGTCTGATTCATTCCGGCAAAATATAAGTGACTGCCCAAGCAACTCAATCGAGAGGCCTTTGCTAATATGCCCCATCGGAAATCCTTGCAGGGAGACTTCCTTAGTGCTCAGAAACTTCCCGATGTTCCCTCCAACCCCCCAGAAGCAAGAAATCCCCGCATTAATCCTTGTATAACCCTATAATAATATTAACCCTGTATCAGCCTCCCTGTAGCGTGTTGAGATGAGAGGTGTCGCCACCTTCCATAGACCAGCCGGCAGTTCTCCCGGGCAGCTTGCCGGAGGATCCTCACAGTTTTGCTTGGAGATTCGGAGCAGCCATGGCAATAACCTGGTATTAATGATCCAAACTAGACTCCCTATAATACTGTAGTAGTTTCCATTTTGTTTTCCATTATCCCAATATATCCCCAATATGTTCCCTATAACCCCTATATAACCCCTAATTCCATTGAGGGTTTAGGGGTCTGGGGCCAGCTTGGAGTCAGATCCCGAAGCGTGTTCTTCAAGAGGCATCCCAGTCGTGAGCACAGAAGGGGGTGCATGGGGCATGGGGGGAGAACAGTAATTAGCGGGGCTCTTCATGTACATCCCCTGAGGATCTGATTGTAGGATTGACGGTGTGGATTGGGATTAAAGGCAATGAACAGCACCGCTCACAGATGCAGTGGAGATACAAATCAAAACATTGTAGCTATGAAGTAGTGGCATCGATGCTCGCAGGATGATATAGAAGGATTGCATTTGGGTACATGCCACAATCATGTTGTGCGCCTCTTGCGGAGGACACTAAAAGATGGCTTGTTCCGAGTTGGCCATCCTTATATTGTATGTCATGCTTGAATCATGCGACTTGTCTATAAACGCGATCGAATCACCACACCACCACCCCTGCAGGAAACCGAGGACGGAAGTGATGGCCAGCGAAGACCGAGCATAGGCAGAAGACGGAATGGTTCGACAGTGATTCTTCAGAGAGCGGAGAAGAACATAAAGGATCAGGAGGAGGAAGATATGGACGAGCAGAAGGCATATGAGCTGGCAGTTGCCAGAGCTGAGCGCCTGCTTATGCTTCGCGCATGCAATCTGAGCCGTATCGAGCCACCGCAGAAGACTTGGCGTGAGAAGTTGAAGACCTGGCTTGAGAGCTGGTGGGCAGAGGGTCACCTGACTCAAGCATAATCTGTGCAGAGGATTGGAGTTCTTGTAGAATTTGCCATCACAACTGTAGTTCCTAGGGCACAGGGAAATACAAGCTGCAACAAGATTCCTCCATCCATGGTAGCCACGTAGACAGTGGTATTGACACCCATCAATTCTGGCTGCTCACTTGGTTTTTGCATAAACCTGAGGCCTGTGCGCCTTTGTCATCTTCACCAACTGTATCATTATTGGCGTGGAGACAGATGTCGTTGCGCAGGCAGTGACTGACAAATCTCCCACAGTCTTTTCTGCCCCGGCCTTGGCTTGCCATCTTGAGGCATCAACCCTGAGATGAGGATGTCTCTGTACAATAACATAAGCTATGCACATGCGGGTGGTTGTCAAAATTATGGGCCCTTTTTGGATCCCTGTTATAATACGGCACCTAATATTTAGGGTACCCAAAAAGGGTTCATAATTGTGACAACCACACATGTGTCTCTTAAGAAGCTAGCTGGTGAAGCAGCTCTTAGGTGCTGGACACCTTTTATACGTTGATCTTTTTCGGCGAGCTCTTGGTCCGCCTCGGAGCATACGGAGGTGCGGAATGTCTCAACCTCGCGAGACTTTTCTGGGGCATCCAAGAAAACCTTAAGATTACCCCCAATATACTATCATAGTTTCCATGTTCTTTTCCGTTATCCCAATATTACCCCAACGTAACGTAGAGCAAGGATCCGAGCAGTTTGCTTTGCTTCTGTTAGCCGGAATATTGACAAGCATCCCCGTTCTCGGCTCTCTAGCTATGGGGCTGTTTCTTCACACAATTAATTAAGTACGTGCGTGAATGAACTTACGACATCACACTCATTTCCTTTGTTTGTGAGGTCATTTCGTTCATTTCACTTACTCATTTCTTTTATAGTTAGTGAACTGAGTGAGCAACTGAATCAAATGAGAGAAGGAAATGAAGGAAAGGAACGAGGGTAACAAAACCTGAAGATAGAAAAGGTATCCGTTAATGCTTCAGTTCCCATTAGCAAATGATCCAACTTTAGGGAATATCTTCATGTCCTTGCTGCAGAAACCCCAGAAAGAAATCCACGTGGATCATGACAACAGTCAAAGACCAGATATCGTCAGGCTCCTTCTTTTGCGGCTCTGTCGGTCTCTTCTGGAACTATCTGGACGCCACGCCTAAACAGGGCAAATTTTCCGAACATGTCGTCTCGCACATAGATATTATTATGTTAAATCACAAGAAATCCCCGCATCTTCAAGCCTCCAAGCATCATTGCAGGGATCCCCGTGTGCTGCAAACTGAGGACATGCTGATTGAAGCCTGGCTTGCACTTGTGTGAGCATCGCGTCACAGATCACATTGCTGCCGCTGCTGCCACCCCTACCACTGGCCCGACTAACACAAGTCTGTTCTATCACGAACGACCACCGCCACCACCACTCTGCTTCTACTGCTGCTTCTTCTGCTACTTCAGCAACGGCAGCCGTCCTTGTCCTCATTATCATGACTATAATCATCCTCGTCCTAGTCCATCTTCATCATCATCAGCGGCATTTATAAATTCAAATACTGCTACAAGCTGATCAGGTATGCCCATCCATGGTGCAATTAGCCGTCAGAGTGATTTGGCAATCTGACGTGGAGTATGGCGGCAGCATGACTGTGGCTCAGCTGCTTCTGGACAAACCTTCCCATCATGCATCATCATGCCGAGTATCAGAAGCGATGACTTTGGTTCGTACGACGCTCCGAGTTTGAGTCGTAGGTAGACGATGATGTTTCCAGATGTGGCCTTAATCAAGCATTGGTCCAAGTAGAAGCCAATCATCTTTCACTTAAGTCTGCCCAGAAGTACAAGAGCGAGGGCCCGCAGTGGCCATAGTAGCAAGAATTTGAGTCCACAAAGCTTGCCCCGATCAGCTTCTACAGCCAAGGTGGTACGGGTACTGCGGATCACGCGCGTCGCTTGGCCTCACAGAAGCAGGCAAGTTTGTGCTCCGTCAGAGTCGCGTTGGACTATGGGTTCTGACAGTCACATTGACAATTTTCTTTTGTCAGTGCACCACTACAAAAGTAATAGACTGCCAGCCTTTTTTGCTCCGGCATTTCGTGGCACGAAGCTTGAGAATCGTGTCGTAAGCTTACACCCAGCGGGTGCGTTTGCAGGCG